CGTCTTTGTACGTGAAAGAAGATACAACGTGTAAGAAAATGATTAAAATGATCTGCGAAAATCTTTTTCTTTTTATTTTTTTATTTTTTTTTTTATTTTTACGTTAACTAATATATAGCAGGAAAAATGTTTCGAAAAAAGAAAAAAAGGATTAATCTCAACAATTGAACTCGCGGATAAAATATAATGAAAAAGTAATCGAACATTTGGCGTTATCTACTGTTAAAAGAAATGAATTGATCAAATCGGCAATAAAGATAACTTTACTTTACTTTCACTCGGACGTTCCAAGTTTCTTCGTGAAATAAATAACGATCGTGATTATGATTGGCCGATAAAATAATGGCGAATATCGCTATTATATCAAAGAAGTTCGTGCCACATTCAACGTTGGCTCGAACAACGTATCTAACCTTTTTCATGGTTACGGCCTTCAGTATACATCAAGCAAACGCACGCGAGCGTATCTGGAATCGTTAGATTATCCTTTTTCCTAGCAAATAAATCGCGTGCGCGTCTAAGTAGATAACTCTGATTATAACTAACATCAATTCAAGAAACTGAATTACCTCGTGAATGTAACAAAAAAAAAAATGATCTACGAACGTAAAAGAAAAATATATGATAATGATGTTAATGATGATAATAAAAAGAAAAATTCAACGTTGAAACGTTTCCTCAATATATTTTTTTAGAAATTTTTAAAGTACGACTCTATATAAACGAAAAAATTATTTTATATTGTTGATATAATTGTCGTAGAAAAAAAATTTGGCGTTCAAATTTGCTGCTTAATTATTTGAAATGTAGCATTTGTATATTATAAAAATGATTAAAGATCATTATATATTATAGAATAAATATAATTGTCTCTTAATTATCAAACCTTCTATTTAATGTAAATATATGACACTCATCTATATTTAAAAAGTACAATAAAATTTTTAAAACGATAAACATTTATCTTCCGTACGATTGTAGCCAATCGCAACAGATTTTAAATATTTTAACATAAGACACGTTGATCGTATAAAAGAAATAACGATAATAAACGATAAAATTTTCTAATTACAGAGCAAAATTGACGTCGTAAATATTTACAACAAAACATATTGTTCCCTTCGCGCTCATTAATAATTAATAACCTCGATAAACATTATAAACGTGTACCATAGAATCATTTTCCATTAATCATCGTTTGCAAACGAAAATATCAGGATAAAAAAATAATCTTTGATAATAATCACGAAGGTATAAGAATACGGCTCGGAATTATGGGTTGTAAGAAATAACAAAAAAACAAAAAAAAAACAAAAAACAAGAGTAAAAAGAAAAGAATTAATTTCGCATCAGTAGTTATCTCCGTAAAATAGAAAACTTTTTCGAAAATTGGAAATCGAAATACGCCGAGTTATGAATAAAATCGAGATAATATGAAGACATTTTTGTTCGATATTAAAAAAAAATAAAAAATAAAAGAAAAAGAAAAAAATTTCGGTCAGACTGGTGACGATCACGAGTGAGTTTGCGATCGGGAACGTACAGGTGTTCTATATTTTCATGAAGCTAATCCCTTCCGACAAATTGGATAGTTCCGGGGACACCGTTAAATCATCGAAATCGAATCACGCGCGAAATTATTTTCGACGATTTCGATTCGAGTCGTGATAGGGGAAAAAAAAAAAAAAAAAACAAAAACTTATACGTATCTGTTAGACACGTATCTTCTTCCTATCTGTGATTTGTACACGAAAATAATCTCTTAAACGATATTATTTAGATGTTAGATAATAAAAATACGATTAATTTAACGTACCCCCGTTGATGAAACATTTTCAAGATAATTCATTGAATCTCAGTTTTATAAAAAGGAGAGGAAGAGGTGAAGGAATAACCAACGAAAGCGTCAGTCTAAATAAAATGCTTTTATTCTCTTACGAAATAAATGTTATTTCCCCCCTAGAGAAGTTGTTCTTTTGAAATAGAGAAATAGATTAGAAACCGTTAAAAGCTAAATCACGTACTAGTCACATTTTCCAATTACGTACGTGTACGCGAGTAAGTAGTAGTTTGGACCACGCTTCCGTGAAGTCCCTTTTTCGATACTACGATCCTCAAGATATCGACACGAGCTGCTCGTACTTCAACCCTTCCGTTTGACCCATTTTTATATCGTCAAAATCTACGTTAGAATGATCGAAAGAAGAAATAAGGTGGGTAAAGCCTCCATTTGAACATTTTCTTTCTACGATACAACGCGTTTGTAGACACGAAGAAGAGGAGTAGGAGTAGGAGGAGGAGAAGGAGGAGGAGGAAGAATAGAATAGAATAGAATAGAATAGAATAGTAGAGAGACTAACAATGAGAAAGATTGCGCAAGACGAAATTGACGCTACTCGCTCGTTCTAATTTTAAGGATCGGCTACATGCACTCCGGTAATTTTACCAACACGAACCAACCGTGAATATATTTATTACTCTATCTCTACACCTGTCGATCGTTATTTAAATGAAATATATTCACAATACACCATAATAATTAACGTTACCGTTTTGATAACCGTTCAATTCAATATTATATTATATATAAATCCTAGTATATACTTTTTCATTTTATAAATATTTTATATCGTAAACTCTTAAAAGTAAAATATTAATAATTCCAGGATGTATATAATATATAGAAAGATCCCTCCAGTTTATATGTACAAGGTTCAATTTCGTATCAATTTACTATACAAACGAATGTTTTCGGGACATCTGTTGCGCACGTGAGTTAGAACGTAAAACCATAAAGCAGCTTTCACATCAGTATAACGCTCACGAAGTTTTCAGTTTCTATTCAACTAATTTTACAATTAGTTACTTTAAGGTATTATCACAACGTTTATAAACAATCGATAAAGTTGTTTTATTTTAAATGTTATATCGATAATCTTTCGTTATTATTTATCGTCTTATAGATAATATATTTAAATATCTAATATCTGTAAATTATATTACATTATATTATTTAAATTATATAAATTATATTAAATATAATATTATATAAGAGATATATATTACAGATATTATATGTCCGTAAATTTTATTATATTTAAATATCTAATATTTTATACTATTCTAATATCTGTATTTTGTCTAATATTGATCTATGTGATGCTAGTAACAAAATAAGCGTTATCGATTGAATGATGTGAGTCAAGGTTAGAAAATAATTACATCGATGAAACTACGATGAAAATAATGTTCTGTTCGATTTACTAATGTAAAACAACGTGGTAAGACTCGAATAATAAAAGAATGATTTCTTCAAATTTATCACGTAGCAAAGATATAACGTAGAAAGATAAAAAGATATAGATGATTACTAAGGAACAAAGGTGCAGATTATCTCTTTGTATTTTCCCTGGCTTATTTTCTTCTCGAATAATGTTTCCCGATTTAAATTTAAAAAACAAAGACGCGATACACGACGAAAGCTTCCTATTCGCCAATTCAAATGCAACAATTCAACGGACCAATCACGAATGCGCATCAGGAGAATCAGTAAACGGCGCGTTTTTCGACAACTTCGCGATGGTATTTTCGTAGATTAAAAAAATTGATATTAAAATTATATAATAGATCATAAAAAAGACAGGAACGAGAAGAAAGCTAAAAGGAAAAGTAAAGTAAGGTGAAAAATGAAAAAAAAAAAAAAAAAAAAAAGATAAGGATATAAATGACTCACCTTTTCGAGACATTCCTGTCCGATGGCTTTGGGGTCGACCTGAACCTCGAGGATGACGGAATTAGCCTGGCTCACGAGGCACCACATATTTCTTCTTCTCTTGCCACCCAGACAGCTTCTACTTCGTAGAGGAGACAGAGAACAGGTCTTTCGTTACGAATCCCGTGACACTAGTGTGTATAGAGAAAGGAAAAAAAAGAAGGATAGGATACATAAAGGATTAAAGGAAAAAATAAACAACACTCGATGTAAGATGCCCTTGACAGAGAACAGTCGTAGGGAGCGTCTTATGATGATGACAAATAAACAGTAGAGCTCTCCTCCCTCGGCGTGTTCTCGTTCTCAATCCGAAGAAGTTGTTGATTGTAATAGGACGGTGTCGCGTCCGTTGTCATAACCAGAGATTTTTTTTAAAATGCTCCTACCCGCACATCTGTCACCGCGTATGCGCACGCGACGACAACCTTCTCGTAGGTCGGCAACGTGCTCACATTTCCACCAAACGAAAGCGTCTCGTCGTCTTCCATTTCTCGGCGCGGAATGACAGACTGAGCCTCCGTTATACTTGCCGTGGATTAGTTCGCAAAATCGAATCACCTTCCGGCGAGTATCGAGTGGCGCTACTTGCACCCTAGATGCACTTACGTATCTACAACGCGTCGGCCGCCGAAGGACTGCCGCGCGGTGGAGTGGGGTTACTCTCGCGTACCTGCACAGCTGATTCCCCCACCACCACACCGGTCACTTTATGCGCACCAACGAAACGAGATGCGTGCGCTGACCAATCACATGCATCTATCAAGCTGACATCTTCTGGCTTACCTCCAATTTCATAAATTTACTGTTTTCAATCAAGCTTTACAAATTTTAAACTTGATGGAAGATAATTCGAATTTACAATATTTATTCGATTAATATATCTTATATTGATTTATTTTAAATAAATCTATTTTTCTCATGAATTAAAAAAATACGTCATAATCAAAATTTCGACACTTTTTCTCTCATGTGCATGGTTTATATATCACGCATGCTCCGAATGCAGCGGGTACATCAAAATGTTACGGAGCATGTATTTACATTTTTCAGGGTCACGCGTTTCTTAATTATGCAACCACGAAAATGAAGAATAATCTTTATAAACTAACCTAAAATAGAATGAAAGTAAATGCTCAATAATGTTTCCACATGTAATGTAGATATTGTAGTAATGTATTAAACGTACATTTACTATGATATAAAATATAATCAATTGAAAATTATGGTGTTACCGTTCTTATTTTTTGTTTCTTTTTTATTTTGAACATTAATACTGTACAGACAATCAACCAACTTACAGAGACAGGGTATACACACGAGGCAAGCTTACCCCTATCGTTAAACTTAACAAAGCATATAATGTTTAAGAAATATATTATGTTTCTACATGTTCACAAGGTTTACGTAGGATTGGGAGCTTATCCGTAAACCTGGAGAGTTTGTAGACAACACGAATATATTATGTTCGTCCTCGATGTTACAGATCATGGAATGACATCTACCAATATACATTAACATTATACATTTTGTTACCACCACCTTAAACAGTACTAATAAAACATTCGTGTTCACCACTATCTGTCGTCTCTAGGCCTTGAAACGACAGGTAGAGGATGTTTCTTTACCTAAACTTATACCATTCTCGTTACTGTGCTATTTCTGTGATTGTATATTTATATATGTTGGTGGTTGAAGCTTCAATAATAATATAGTTACAGTTACATTTATTGTCGTGTAACAATTGCGGAAAAGACTCTAAGAATTTAAATACCACCGTCTATGACTAAACAGTATATAGATATTTCCTGATCAACGTATAACATAACGGTGATAAATATATTTTAAGATATGATATAGCAAAGAATATTTAATGTACACGTATAGCATCAAATGTAATATTTATAATTGTTGAATATATTCCTTAATGTTTATTATTCTACGATAAAATTCTTGTGCAATTGTGGTTTAATGTCATACACCAACTCCAAGATTTTATACATTACCTAATTAAATACAATAAATATATTGTTTTTATAAAGAAAATATCAGTTAAATTTAATAAATAAAAAGGATTACGTACTTTATCTTTATGCACAGAGACGGCTTTATTCATTTCTTCAATCTTTACTCGAGTATCAGCTTCAATACGTGCAGCTACATCTTCTTTCGAACCCATATGCTATAGAAACAAATAGTTATTATCCAGAGCTATATTTTTCATTTGATTACTTTATGATACACATTTTCAACATGTAATTTAATTTCATTATAAAATGCAATGATGTAACTTGGAATGCGTTTAAAGATATTCACCTTGGCTTCAAATCGACGAAATTGTTTTTCACGTTCCATCCTATATTTTTCAATTTCATCTTGAGCTTCTTCTTTGGCTTTCTTTAACCTACTAGCTTTACCTGTAATATATAAATACAAATTCTATACATATATTTCTTTTCCATTGATATTTAAAATCATATTTCTTTAAAACATACATATATATATGTTAATAATTAAGCGATAAAATAAATCTTGATAAAATTGAAACATCATCATAGCAAAGTGACAATAAAATGTCATCTCAAAATTATATCGACCAAAAATTTAGCAAAAAGTCATTAAAGACTTAAATCTTTAAATACAATACAAACATAATTAAGGATACCTTATCAAGAAATATAATTTCATTGATTTTTATTAGATCTTAATCGATCTTCAACCTGTACCAACATGATATTGTACATCAGCGTGTCTCAAAACGTTGAGTGGCAAATCTGTATCACACATTTATAAAGTTATATTTACATCGTTTTTTATATAAATATAATATCAATATCATTTTTAGCTAAAAAGGGTGTTACACCCAATGACAAAATGATTAATGAGAGTTTGACGTTAATCTCTGTTTTGGACAATCCTTGCCATAGATAATGTGTCACAATTATTAGAAATGAACTCACGCTTTCTTGCTTCTGCAACCTTTTCTGCAGCACGTTTTTCGGCTGCTAAAAGTTGTTGAATACCCTGCGTCTGGCTAGCCATCTTTACAACGAATGAAGGGAATAACGATGTGCCACAAGGAATTACAAATCGATCATATGACTTCGGAGCTTCCGTTTTCTGCCCCGCCTTAAACGATGGCGCTCTATCTCGTGCTCTCACGTGGTTATTCTTCCACGCTCTCTTTATCCGATAATTTGAATACACAATGTAGATATTACGTAAAACATCGATACAATTATGTAGAAATTAATAACAGATTTCAAAGCGAATTAAAACAGGAACTTCATTAATTGCTTTCCTTAAATGTACTATTATCTGCAATATATACAAAAATGTATTATTATTATTATTATTATTATTAAATTTTATTTTTTTTTATTTTTTATAAAATATAAATACATAATTAATTTTAGGACACTTATTCTATTTATATAATAAACTACACTGAACAGTTTGTTTTACATTTAATAATATCTTCTCCTGTCGTTTCTTTTCTTCCTTGAATGCATCTTTGTTGGCTTTGCGTTCTATTCTCCTCTCCTAAAATTTTAAGTATTAGATGAAAAAATATTATGTATTACTATATTTGGAAATGTATGAAAGATACCTTACCTTCCTGTAATCTTTTAATGCTTTTTTTCTTTCTTTTCTTTCTTCAGGAGTTTCATTCTTCGGTCTTACACTTAAAATACTTAAAGTAGATTTCATTGTATCAGCTACAGATAGCGGACCTCTCAATTCTGCAGCATTATTTTGTAAATTAAATTGTGCCAATGCTTTTGAAGTTAATTTTTCTGTTGGGCCACCCAATACATCTTTTGGTATACCAGTTTTAGCATGAACTTTTATTTTATTTGGAATTATCTAGATATAAACATAAAATTTATTAATATTCAAGAACTTATCCAAATTACATAATCACAGTAGATAATATTTTTTAATGATTTACCTTTTTTTCTACAATAAGTTTAGGATGATTATAAATATTACTATATGTGCTTAGAATACTTTCACAATCCCATTTTTCTGTTTCTCTAGCATCAACAACTAACTTTTCCAAATCATCTTCGTCAGAACTGGAACATTGTTCTATAATTTTCATCCTTTCTCGCATTACTTCAGTTATGTTTTCCGTCTGAAAATGATAATTAATGATGAAATATCTATTCTCTCAAATAATTTATGTATCAAAGTTATTTAATGTTTACATCTTCTTTTTGTAATTGTTCGAATTCTTTGGCGCATTCTAAAACCATGTTTGAATCAGGTGCCAGATGTCCTTCTATTTCATCCCAATCTAAAGCACCAATTTCATTATCATCATATACACTGTACATCTAAGAAAAAAGACAAAATTATAATTATTAATATCTTATTTTTACAATGTTGATAGTATTTATAAGAGATACATACTTTTTCAAACTTTTCATCCAACAGCGCTAGTTGTTCATTTCTTCTCATTACGCTACTGCTCATAGAATATTCTGTGAATCGTGATTTCGTTTCTTCATCCTTAAATGTATGTTGAGGACCACTTAAACTGCATACTTCATCTCTTTCTTCATCAGAAAGCCCCATCTGATCATTAGATGAAGCATCCATATCTTCTTCTTCGCTATATTCATCATCTATAAATTTATGCAATAACACATATAGTGTATAAAATACAAGCAACTGTATATGCATCGCATTATAAACTAACCATATTCTTTATCTTCAAAGCCTTCTTCATCGCTATCTCCAGCATTTGCCAATTCTATAAAATTGTCTTCCAATTCATTTTCAGGATCATCAAAATTAAAATCATCATCCAACGCAGCTGCTATATCTGGATCTACCTCTAATCTAAGTCCGGTAACTGGTGCAGCTTTGTTTAATAAACCAACTTTCTCTTCGACATTTGATGCAAATACAGATGACGGTAAATTGAGTTTATGATCTTCGCTTTTTTTATTTTCTTTAACATTTACAGGCTCAACATGTACCCAGTTAACGTCTAAAGTATCAACATTTTTTAAATGTTGTAAATAATCATAATCATCATCAAAATATATTCCATATTTCTGCTGCTCTTCAATGCGTTTTTTCTTTTCCAATGGTAGTTTTTTTTCTAATTTGGTAGCTTGTGTTTCACCAGCTGGCACAAGTACTCTTTGCGGTGCTGTTTCATCAGCTATCAGTGGATCTTTTTGTGAACGATGTACCAAGTGAAATGTGACCGAATTATTCTTGTCAATAAACTTCTTTGATTTTCCTTTCGGCTAATTTTATAATCAAAGTAAAAGATAGAAATTTACTTAACCTATACTCAGAATTTGATACTTTTAAAAATTAATAAAATCTCTTGTACTTACCATTTTTAACAAAATTTATAATAAACTCGATATAAACTAATAACGTATTCTATAAAAATACCATAAAAAATTAATTTTACTTTTTATTTGTTGAGATACTTAATGTTTTCTTGCCACATTCAAGCAAATGGAATCCACATAAAGCACGTGTATATATGTACATCACTAGTTCCTTTAAAAGTGCTGCATGAAATATGCATTGAATTTATCCCTAGATTTATTGACTAAGGAAAATGATTGATTTAACTATTTCTATATAAATGTTTTTCGCATTTCATTATACACTTTTTCAATAAGTATAAGGATCAATTTTAGAAATTTTTTAGCTTTACAAGCACACACCAAGTATTTTCCTTACGCGTTTTTAGTTCTTTTGTTTTTCCACTAGTCAAGTCAAAACGTGAATACTATTGGTTGATTGTGTGGTACACGTGCATAGAAATTTAAAAAACAGCGTTTACACCATTAGCGATTTTTAATATAATTTTTAATTTATTTCGGTAAGCAATATCTTCTTTTAAACTTTAGAATTCCCATAAATGAGATCCATTTTTCAAAATTCTCAAAGATAATTATTTCCTGTATAAAGATTACATCTAATATCACGAGAAAATTTTAAGCGAAAAAGAAAGCTGAATCATAAAAGTCATTATGTGTGTTCATCATTTTTAAAATAATAATATTTTAACAATAATACATTTCGAAGTTTTCTGAAATAATTAATACTTTTGATTAGTTATTATTTATTTAAAAGAAATCTCATATCTGTCAAATTTAAAATTATATTATTTAAATAGTAGCACAATTCGTGTAAACTCTTCTATCGATTAATTAACAATTATTTTAATGAACTAATGCACTTTACTTATATTACAGGAAAATATTACCTTTGAAGTCATCACCGCGCAAGAACGGCTAAATAATTACATAAAAATGATAAAACTGCTAAAATGAGAACGTTATAATCTTAAATTTTATTGATTAGATTAATTATTCCCTTTATACACATGCGCAACGTTCGGAAAGTCATATAAACAACTTTCAATAAAAGTAGTTTTCATAGAAGAAAAAGTGCCAGTCTCAAGGTGCATCTCGAGGAGGATGTTACATAGATCATATATTTCGAGCTTTTTAACAATAATTACACTTCTATCGATTATTTAACTATTATTTTAATTTGTTAATACACTCTTCTTATATTTCAGTTTGTTGTAACATATATATATATATATATTGGTTGAAATATTACATTACCTATTAACGTATTTTAAATAAAAAATAATTTTTATATATTTTTCTTTTATTTTTTTAGATGACTTTTTTAAACTTGATTTCGTTACTGACCCAATATATAAACATAAAATTTAGCGATAAAATACATTGTTTTAAATCAGTTTTTTTTTAGACTTCGACACGTACTGTATTACTTGCGAATAGATGAGACTCCTGGGTTGAGGCCTAAGAGTAAAGTTTCTTAAAAAACGTTCTCAGTCAAATAATTTTACCTTGGAATTGACCACTGCGCTGGAGCGGTTAAATATTTGTATAAAAATGATAAAAATGCAAAAATCAGAACGTTACAATCTTAAATTTTGTTGATTAGATGAATTATTCCTTTTTTACACATGCGCAACGTTCGGAAAGTCATATAAACAACTTTCAATAAAAGTAATTTTCATAGAAGAGAAAGTGCCAGTCTCAAGGTGGATCTCAAAGAGGACGGAGCTCCAAATATATATTCCGAGCTTTTTAACAATAATTACACTTCTATCGATTATTTAATTATTTTTTTAATTCTTTAATACACTCTTCTTATATTTCAGTTTGTTTTAACATATATATATATTGGTTGAAATATTACATTATCTATTAACGTATTTTAAATAGAAAATAATTTTGATATATTTTTCTTTTATTTTTTTAGATGACTTTTTTAAACTTGATTTCGTTACTGAGCCAATATATAAACATAAAATTTTCCGATAACATACATTGTTTTAAATCAGTTTTTTATTAGATTTCGACACGAAAACGTATTACTTGCGAATAGGTGAAACTCCTGGGTTGGGGCCTAAGAGTGGGGCTCATTAAAAAACGTTCTCGGGGTTTTCATTTTCTTTGGTTTCAATTTATTTCGGATGTGGACATCTTCAGGATGCACATCACGGGTCTTCAGAAGCGGTTACCTCCTCGTGGTTAGACCTGGGCAATGGTATTTTACTTTCAGTATAATGTTTAACATATTTTATATGTTGTACATTCCATTGCAAGTAAAATCCAGCCAAAGACCGCTTATCTAAAAACATTATAATTGTAATTAGTTTCTCTTAATTTCCTAATTAGAACCATATTTATTTACTCCTTTCCTTGGTTCCTTCTATTCATTTAATATACAGAAACTAATTACTTTATAATGTTTTTTAATAACTATTCTTTATTTACAGATACCAGGGAGTAGTCCAAAATTGTTGAAATTTAAGTTGCGATCTATAAAAGACGTAGCATTAGATTCATTTTTAGTTACTATTGAGGCTACTGAATTATTTTTAAAAGTTTAACAGCAAGTTCGAACTTTTCGAAAATAGCTCTCTCTAGTCATATTTTATATTTTATTATATTACTTTTTTGCTCGTCATTAATTTGTAGTTGTCGTATCTATATCGTTTAAAAGATGCATATGTGTTTAGTTAGAGTCAAAAATATTAAAATTTTCGTATTATTAAATTTTCAAACTTAAATAATATTCGATAAATATTACAGTAATTTCTCTTTTCTTTTTTCGTCTTTAAAATTTTTCACTGTAATCGTATTTTATTAAATTTACAATTTTTCTTTTCTATATAATGCAGTTTAAAAGTATTTCACAATAATTAATAAATATTATTTTTTTTTAATAATTTAGTATTTTTACTTTTCCTATTTCTTTATTTTTATTTATTTTATGTAAATGTGAAATCACGCTTTTAAATTTAATTTCATTGCAACGATTAATATAGAGATTTATATAATCAAAATAAATATAGAATTCAATTGAAAAGTGCATCTGCGAATTGAACGATTTATATGTCAGGCTATTGTATCACTTGTTGGATTTATCATCAAACCTTTTGGATTCTTTTTTGAGTGTCTTAAATTACTTCATTTTAAACTTTACGTATAAATGCATTTCTAAAAGCACATATATACATGTTTATACATTAAAAATTAAATATATTTATTTAAAATTTTATTACAATAGAACTATACTATTTATACTAGCAAAGAATATACCATATACTATCATATATTATCAAAGAATACTCATTTTTTCTGCTGTTTCGGTTCTATGCCAACTTTTTTGTGCTATACTTGAATAAAGAAAATTTTCCTATTACCCTTAGAAATTTACCGATCGGACTGTATCCGTGATGAATACACTCAATATTTTTCGAAGAGATGGCACTATCGTAGTTCTTGCCGACAAAACAGTTTTAATATTGTGGATTTTAATAAGTTGCATTGACGTCAGTCTGATTCTTATTTCAAGTATAAATAAACATTGCTTCAAAATATTCAGAAAATAGAAATTTGCTTAAAATGATCAAATCCCATGTTATTTTTGTTCCTACAAATTCGAAATTATTTCTATACAACGAACATGATATCATATCAATAAGTCGGTGTATATTATTGAATCAATTTATATATATAAATTCCATCTATAATGTATTTACATTTTAATATGCAAATCTGTTATTAAAATTTAGATGAATAAAATATTAATAACTTTTATTAATCAATGATATGAATTAATTCAAGAATGAAATAGTATTATATTTTATTATTTATCATATGTATTTAATTTTTTTTCGTTCATTGTCCAACCAATGACAATAACAATATAGGCAAGTAGGAGATAGACAAACGTTGATTGGTCTACTCTTGTGACATGGAACTGTCATCTAGCAGACAAAATAGAAACTACAAAGAATATTATTTGTATGAATAGTGTATATATAATATGTGTGGTGTTCTTAAAATAAAATTAATTTAGTCGGTGTAGGTAGAAGTTTGCCATAATGATTTTTTAACACACACCATTTAACCATTTAATGGGTTATATTCATAGGAAATTTAGATAGAACAAATTTATATGTAAATTTTGTGTACGTGTTAATTATGGCGAAAACAAAAACTATTAGTAAGGGTTGTCCGAAATGTGAACAACAGGTAATTTAATTTAATATTTTTCTTTATATTCAATAAAATGTATTAGACATGACAGAAAAGTAAATTAATCTAATATATCTGGAGGAATGAGTCATAATGTGATAATTTAATCAGAAATTTGTTTTTTTTTTTAAGCTCTAATATAATAAATTCTATAAAAAAGTAATATAAAATAAATAATTACATTATTTATATATTGTTTTTTTAATTAAATTTTCTAAACATAATTAAAGTAATATCTAATATTAATATTAGATTTATACCAATCAAAATGATTGTTAGCCATTGTTTTTTTTATAAATTTATACCTTAAATTTCATTATTCCTTTTTCTAGGCAAACATTATGATTTTTTTATTATACACATATAATTAGATTTATGAATTTCTGTATTAATTATTTATCTATTAATTTTTTAGATATATATCAGAAATAATATTAAACCAGCAGTTCTAGTGTTAATTGAAAATATTTTATTTTAAGGTACCCGTTGCTTGTAAAGCATGTCCATGTGGACATTCATTTTTTAATGCACGGCGTAATTCCATCAAAAGTCCACCAAGTCCAGATAGTGGAGTTATGAAAACGAGAAGAACTAATCGTATCAAACGTGAGAAGCCAAATTATTATGATGCATTAGAATATGACAAACAAACAAAGAAAAGTTCAAAGGTATTCCATACCGTTACTTTTATACATCTATTAATATTTTTTTACCTTATATTATACGGTATGGTTTGTGATTATATAGAATATTAAATTAAATATGTGATAGTATTAAGATATTTAAAAAATATTATACATAAAATCCTTAACGAGTGATCTATAAGTTGCATTGAAAATCTTACAACTTTATATTCTTAGATAAGACGTGCTGCAGATACTTCCAGTGATATAGATTGTCGTCAATTAAATAAAAAGAAAAAAAGAAAAGGTAAAGGGAAAGGTAAAAATGGAAGTAGTAGTGGATTGGGTGATGACGATGATGAAATGGAAGGAATTAGTGGCTTATCTCCAGAAAAACAGTTAACATGCTCTCTTATTTTACAAGAGCTTAATAATAAAATGAAGGTAGTAGCGTGGAAGCCATCATGAATTGTTTTCTCTACGCAGAGAATGTACATATAATAATGTGATTATAAGATGTGTTTTGACTGTACAAATACTTTTCTTTTTAAAAATGATTAACTTTTTAAAGATAGTTAATGAATGTTCTCAATATCTTTTGAATAACGTCGAAGACACATCACAAAGCAATATAATTTACGATAAAGAAATATTCTCTATGTATATACATATTTGTACTTTTACAAACAAATATTCTTCTTCCTCTTTTTTTTCTTTTTTCTATCTGTGATTTTTGCTAATAGAATTTCTCTATTTATTCAATCTTCTTTCTACCAATTTTTAGTTAGATAACAGATATATTTATATTTCCACAATCAATAAGACTATTATAAGACAATTGATCCAAATGGAACAAAAAAAAACTAATAGCATACAAATGTAAATAGATATATCAAATATGAAATATGAAATTATGCAACAAAAAAAAAAAGAAGGTAGTCTAATTGTAATTACCGTGCTTCAGTTTGTTATTAATGACAGATTTTGTACCTTTTTATATATATATATATAGATATATATATATATATATGGAGATATATATATATTTATATATATATACACATTTATAATGTAATTAAAAATATAATATTGTACATTGTGTGTGTAAATAATATGTAAATAACGAATTATAAAGGCAAATTTTGAAATAAAATAAAATAAGGATGTGATCTATACGCTCGTATTTTCATATTGTTCTGTGTTCAGTTCTAATTTTGTGCGCGAATTTTTATATATATCTATACAATTAATCGTTTACGTCATTAATAGTAATAATAATAATAATAATAATAATAATCAACGAGAGAATAAAGTAACAACAACAAGTAACAAGAGCAAGTAACAGTAATAACAACAATTATATTCATAAGAGATTTGATTGATCATGCAGAACATAACGATAATTTATTTCAATAAGTTGAATTATATGAATTATTTTTCAATGTATGAAGAATTATTCTCGATATAACTATCAACAAATTTATAAGAAACAAAAATTATATAGCGACAAAAATGCTGCGATTTATTATTTTTCTAATACACGTTTACTCTCTCTTTCTCTCTCTCTCTTTTTCTCTCTCTTTTTCTCTCTCTTTTTCTCTCTCTTTCTCTCTCTCTTTCTCTCTCTCTCTCTCGCTCTCTCGCTCTCTCTCTCTCTCTCTCTTTTCTTCAAGGAATATCACACACTTGCAAAATATTTTATTCTTTCACATTTGTATCTCCTTGACAATTATTATTTTCAGTATTATTAACGGGCAGCTTCGTTGGTTTTGGTACTTCATTGAATACCAATAGGAGAGGCAAACCTCCCATTACCATGCATGTACCCATACACAGGAAACATACGGTGTAACTTCCAGTCACATCACGTAAATAACCTGGAATTATTAGAAAAAAAAAATAAACGAGAATAAATGTTAATGCGTCATCGTTATCATCGATATAAAAATTTGAATAGCAAATCGTACCTGCGAGAGGTGGTATAGAAATAGCGCCAACACTTTGAAACATTCTGACCAATCCATAAGTCGAAGATATTTTATCAGTTCCATATTGGTCAGCAAGAAGGACGGGAACTAAAAGAAACCAACACCCCAAGCATAATCCGTACATTCCAACGGAACACGCTAAGACGTAAAACGAATGAGCCATTGGTATTGTTAACACCGCAACACCGGCACCAACGACACTGTAGAAGAAAGTTTCATTTCAATACTCTCAATGAATATAATTAAATTAAAAACATTTTGTTTTTTTAATGAACAAAACTAAAAAGAAATAATCAATGACCCAATGAAAGTAAAAGAAAAATCATGCCGAGTTCTAATACTAAAAAATATTACCTTCCAATGTATCCTTTTCGTCGATCAAAAAGTTGCAAATCAGAGAGCCAACCTAATCCAAGTCTGCCACATAAATCGAGAGCAGCCGAGATAGCTACGAGATAACCAGCTTCTGCTTTCGTATATCCACCCGCGTGAACATATGCTGGCAAGTAATATAACATATATGGACTTCCAGTCGACATTAGACTGACTGAAAAGCACATCATTATAAATTGTGGATTCTTCAATAAGGAAAGATCAATATAACGTGCAACTTTTTGCATTATCGTTTTGGGTTCTTCCGTAGTAGTCATAACATCGGTTTGGGGTATCGGTGCAGGACATACAACTGTGGCGGAAGACCTAAGAGATCTCAGGGATGATCTCGCTTTGTAGACGCACGTTGAGTCAGTTGATAAATCTTCAACGCTATGCAATATACTCGAGCTTCGTATTTTTGAAATTGGTTTCATCATAAGAGTTTCCCCCATCACGTCCTTCTCTTCGTCACTATCCGTTAATTCGACAGCTATCACGCTATTCTGATGGAATAATTCGTTGAGAAGATTGTGACGAGCCGTCGCATCATTGGCGAAGAGAAGATCGAGTTTCTGTTGCTTCGTTGCTTCCTGTCCGCCATTGCTGTCATTCTTTTTTTCACCAGACTTCACCCCTTTGTCGTTCGTTTCATTATCCGGAAGATAATTATTCTCAAGTGGCCTGTACAATGTCGCACTGACGCATACGTGAAGCATACATCCACCCAAAAGTAATATCGTACCGTGAAAACCAAAATTCTTGACTAACGTTTCGATTAAAAGGGGAAATACAAAGCTTCCCGCTGCTGTCCCTGATACGCATATACCGTTTGCTAGAGCACGATGCTTATCGAAGTATTGAGAAACGATTATGATGCCTGGTGTTGTCGACAATCCACCACCGATCCCTGAAAAAAATGGATTTTTATTTTCATTTATTCAAATTTCATTCAGTCTGAAATCTTTTATTTGAAAATTATTATTTCAATTTAATTTCTTTTTAGCTCGTAGATCTGTATCCAATTACTTTTGAATTGTTTGTTATTTTATTTTCTTAATAATTATTAGGACACTTTCGCAAAAATGATCGTTTCCGAAAGTCTGATTCAGCTCATAAAAATTTAAAAAGCTTTAATATAGAATAATTAATACGATGAAAAGGTAATAGCAGTGTCCGAAAAAACTGATCTAAATCATTCCTTATATTTTGAATTATTTTATATCTCATCTAATAATAAATGATCGGACTCACCAGTCAAGATACCAAATGTAAAAAAGAGATGTATCAAGCTGGTGGCGAAATAACTAGTCGTAAGTCCTAAAGCACAGAACAATCCACCGATGAAAACGACAGCACGGCAGCTATACTTTTGACACAGTATACTCGTTACAGGCGCTGAAATGAACGATCAATGTTAACTATGTAAGTTTCTACATCGATTGATTTTCTTTATAAATAAACTGCATCAACGTGACGAAGGAAATATTTTCCAAAACTTTATGCGTAGGTTTGCTTGTAATCATGCATATTTTATTATATAAGATTGGAGATCAACGTCCCTGAGAACGTAACAATTAATATTATATATGTTATAGATTAAAAAATATTCTATAAAAAATATATAATTCGTTCAAAATTGTTAAGAAAAATTTGCAAAATTTCAATTGGTGCGCGCGAAAAATGAACTAATATATAACAAAAAAAGAGTATATATATGCGAAAAGATATAATAATAATAATTGGAGAACGCATGACTCACCCAAGGCGAGACAAAGGCAAGAAAGTATAGCTGGTATCCAAGATGCAACCGATGCTGATGAGTCCTTGAACGTTTCCATGATTTCGACATAGAGGACGCCATAGGATTTGACCAGGCCAGCGACCCAAAATTGGACGAAAAAGGCACCAAATACGACGACCCAACCATATCCACCATCCAAAGGTATATAAGTAGGATTCCTTAGTTTTCTGGTATCTCTCCTTTTAGGTTTCTTCTTCTTCTTGGTTGGCGGGATTTTCGAATTAATGGTTTTAGAGGAACGAAGCTCACGGGATTTCGCTATCAATGGTCTAGCCGTTAAACTTGATATTGTTAAGAGATTTTCATTATCCTCGTCCTCGATCGTATCCGGTGGACTTTGTAAATGAGGTGGCACGACCGGTGTCGAGGTAGCAGTAGTTTGAACCATCAACGAGGCCGGCCTTTTAGGGGATGGCACGCCAGTACTTAAATCAAATACGGGTGCGGAATGAATCGAGAGTAAGGAACCCAGCTGATTCTGTTGATTCATATTTTCGTCGATGACGGCCGTACTGACCATCTCCTGTGACGCTGCTCCAATTCCTCCTGTGCCACAGCCGACCGTCGAGGTCGCACGGTCGACCGATCTACACGAATCCTGGAAACTCCATTCCCGTGGCAACGACATTTTTTACTGTCTTCGACGAAACGAAAACCGTAATACATTGGAATTACGTATTCTTTCTCTTTCACTCTCTCTCGCTCTCTCTCTCTCTCTCTCTCTTTCTCTCTCTCTCTCTTTCTCTCTAACTCTCTTATGCGTTTATGTTTAGGTCTAATGTTTTTTTTTCTTTTTAAGTTTTCAACCAAAAAGAGAAGAAGACTCTTGTTTAATTATCTTTATCTCTCTATTTTTTTTTCTTTTACCTTGCACTCTCACTTCCACTCTCTCTCTCTCCCTCTCTCTCTCTCTTTCTCTCTCTCTCTCTTTCTTTCATTCGCCCTCACCCTTCCTTTTTTGCTTGCTTTACATACGTTACCTAACAATCGTCTATGTATCTTGATCTATGTATTCGTATACGTCATAAGCTCTATATATTTATCTACCTATCTCTGTCTCTGTCTCTCTTTCTTTCACTCTCTCTCTCTCTCTCTCTCTCTCTCTCTCTCTCTCTCTCTCTCTCTCTTCCTTTTTCTCTCTTTTTAATTCTTATTATTTCCCTTTTTTTGTTTTTTCTTGACAGTGGTGTATAATAGTGACAAACAATAAAGAATCTTTTCTTTAAACACACACTCTATATTTCAGTCCTTTTCTTTGCAATGTTCTTCGTTACGTTGCCTTCTCTTGCCTTCTCTTGCCTTCTCTTGCCTTGCCTTGCCTTCTTGCCAACCCGGTAGCAATGTCTCTCACCATTTAACTTCTTATTCTCCACTGTTCCTTCTGTCACGATCAGACGGTTCCTCGGTAAATACAGAATGGAAGGGGGTTGCGCACGCACATGAGGTCGCCACGGGGTGGAAACCTACGGGATCGATATGCAGCAGGTACGAAATGATGAAATGACGCACTCTTTGTCTCTCTCTCTCTCTTTCTCTTTCCCTTTCTCCTTCTCTATTTTCCTTACTCTGTCTTTCTTTCTTTCCTTCTTGTCACAATCGCCATGTGTCGTAAAACTTTGATTATTGCTCGTCATCAATTTAAATGTTTTAAGAACAATCTACGTTTAGGATACACCTAAGGGATTCTTTGATTTCACATGGATTTGGATTCATTCTCTTTCCTGTTGATCTCTACGAATGAAAATAATGATTTATATATTATTGTAATATGCTAATAAATCGATAATAAATTTGCATAATAATTATACAAATTCATCCTGACATACCTCTTTAATACCATATTAGTTTGTTTATATATATATATACATATATATATATATATAATTTCGAATAAAATTTGTCTGACACAGTTGTTGCAGGTAAATATGATAAAAGAAAGTAAGAAAGAAAAAAGAAAAATGAAAAATAAAGCATTTATGTTTGCGTGTAGCTGCATTGACTTTATCCTTGATTATATATATCCCTTAGATAATGTAAGAATTCATATTTAAGTAGAGTTATTAGGCTGTTATTATTGAAACATGGAAGACACGTGGTAACTTGTGGTACCAGTGTTTACCTCCGTTGAAATATGATCAATATTTTAGACAAGTCTGATAATTTTATATAATATCTAAAATATACGATCATTGTAGATCATATCCTTATCTCTATCGCAATATTGCAACATATTATCAAATCTAAGGGAAAAGACAGGTGCAAAGAAGAGATCGAATTCGAAAGTTGGTGCCAAAATCTTTGAATTTACGATAGTGGGGATGGGAATGAATCCCTCACTTGCGCGCAGCATCCAACTGGATCAATGTATCCCAAGAGGAGGTCAGATCTTGGCTCTGTCCTCGTACTTCGGGCCATTATAACTTGGGCCGTGCCCAAGTATTCTTCTACTTGTTTCGTCAAATTTTTCAATCATTTTTTGGTGGGTGGATGAACGCGGTGTCGACAATATATTTGTATATCTAGTTTAGTTTTATCACATTTTATTTTTCTTTCTTTCGGTCTTTTCTTTTTTTTAATTCCTTGTCTTACCTCAAAGAGAGAAGAAATAAAACCGGGATTTAATTAAACGTCAGGTAGGTCGAGAGAGATCCGTTTTTTAAAGCATGCAAATTTTGACATAAATTTTCCTACATACTTCGTGTCTTTTCTAGACTTCAATTTGTTTACCCTATCGCAATGGGAAAATCTAGTAAAATGATAGCATTGATTTGTCTTCTGATGCTTTTCGAAGACTATAATCATGCCGCGAGACCATCCAGTCACAATAGTCCAACTTTGTTCATGATCGGTGGTGTCCTTTCAAACAACGAAAGCAAAACTTACTTTGCTGACACCGTGGCCGTGAGCATACATTTTATTGATACATTAATTATTATTTGATTTGAGCAAAAGGCTTTGTTTTATTGATACAAGCATAATGTAATTATTATATTTTAGCATTTGAACTTTGATTCGCAATACGTGAACAAAGGTATAACTTATCAGCACACTGTCATCGAAATGGACTCCAGTCCGATCAGGACAGCTCTCAGCGTTTGTAAATCTCTAATCGCTCAACAAGTTTATGCAGTAGTGGTGTCCAATCCTCTAACAGGTGATTTGTCACCAGCTGCTGTTTCCTATACCAGTGGTTTTTATCATATACCTGTAATTGGTATCTCTTCGCGTGATTCAGCATTTTCCGATAAAGTACGTCGATCTTTAGATCATACCTTACTTGTATTCATGAGGATGTAAGAGAAATTCTTACAGATGGGCAAACATATTTAGAAATATTTTTTCAGAACATACACGTGTCATTCTTACGAACCGTTCCGCCATATTCTCATCAGGCTGACGTGTGGGTTGAAATGTTGAAATATTTTAACTACATGAAGATCATTTTCATCCATAGTTCGGACACCGATGGTCGTGCTTTGCTAGGACGTTTTCAAACGACGTCGCAAAATTTAGAAGACGACGTTGAAATAAAAGTACACGTAGGTCCATCTGTCCTCTTCCGTCGTTTACCTTAAAACATTTTCTAATATCGATAATTATCTGTCCCTAAAAAAAAAAAACAGGTAGAATCCGTTATAGAATTCGAGCCAGGTCTTGATAGTTTTATGGAACATTTGATGGAAATGAAAAGTGCGCAAGCCAGAGTCTGTTTGATGTATGCCACGTAAGTAAAATCAATTTATTAATTAGAATAATCTAATCTTACGACAGATAAGAAGATCATTCGGATAGAAACGTTTGAATATATTTGTGTTTTTAACTTACAGAAAGACAGATGCAAAAATTATCTTCAGAGATGCAGCATCATTGAACATGACCGGAGCTGGATACGTTTGGATCGTTACCGAGCAAGCATTGGATGCACCTAACGCACCAGAAGGTCTTCTTGGACTGAAATTAATTAACGCGAGCGCAGAGAAGGCTCACATCAAGGACAGCCTGTCAGTTCTTTTACGATCTCACATGATAGGCACTCCTACATGTATATGCATGAAACTGTGTACATAGTTTCACAATTAGGTAAAACTTCCACTTCACACAATTCCACGATCACTTGGAATCGCATCTACTATGAAGAAAGGATTGAGATTGCTGAGATTTTTCTTCCTCTGATTATCTTCTTCAATTTACATCTTCTCGTCACTATCTCTTTACTCTTTACTCTTTTTTGCTAGCTTTATAATTGTAATATATAATTTTCTTTCTTTTTTTTTTTTTCTTTTTTTTTATATCAAATTTTGACTTATCTTGCACATCGTTTCATCTACAAGGTGCCTAACTTTTTTTTTAAAAACTGCTTACATATATAAAACTTGAAACTACTGTCTCATTTCTCAACGTAGTCATCCTGTATTCGTAAGTATATATTTTTTGACGTTCTGATTACATGATCGTTGTCTTTAGAAATTTATTTTGTCCAGTGGAAAATTGATTGATAATGCGAATAAGACACAACTTCTTGTCTTCTAAACCAATCATTCACAATGGCCATGTAATCAAATTGCGTCGATATTATAATAAAATATATACGCGTACAGAGTCACTATATGTTAAGAATTGAAAGTAATTTCAGCTTTCTGCTGTATGTAGTTTGAAAAAAAAAGAACTTAGGAGACCTTAGAACTTAAGAATGCATCTCTTAACAACAATATTTCTTGACTATTACACAGGTATCACTGAGATAAGAACCAGCATCATTTTAATTTGAAAACTTTGATGTATCGATGTTGGTTACAGATCTAAGGACTCTGATTTCATCTCATGGATGTTACTGCATGGAAACGTTGTCCCGTAGAAATTGTGTTGTGTGCATAAGTATATTTAAGTAATCCGATTATTAATTTTTCTGATGTCGAGGGTATATACTTACTATTCCAGATACGCATTTGTCTCTGCATTACGAGAAATGAACGAAAGTGAAGAAATTACGAGCGCTCCCAAGGATTGCGGTGATTCCGGAACGATATGGGAAACTGGGAGGAAACTTTTTGAGTATGCCTCATCGTGTTATTTCTTTTTATTTAACTCATTAGCTACAGTGCAATACATGTAGACGCGTTTCCATGAACATCGCGGTATTTCCTTGTTTCCTCCAATTATGCAATTTGATTGCGTTGATACAAAGTAACATTTATAAGGAAAAAAATAAATTAGCTACTATAGGAGCTCTTTAAATTAAAAAATGTTACACACCGAAAGGGAAAACGCTATCTTATATAGGCGCATAGTAGCTAAATGGTTAATATTTTTAAAACAAATTAGATATATTATAATTGCGTAATATATACGATTGTATGATTTAAGTTATATCCGTCAACAAGTTTTACCACATGGAGAAACTGGCAGAGTTGCTTTTGACGACAACGGCGATCGTATTTTTGCCGAATATGATGTTATTAACGTTAACGAAAATGGTCGGCAAGTTTCAGTTGGACAATACTTTTATCCAGCTGTAAGTATTAAAGATAAAAATGATTTATTATTAAAATTCTATGAAATGAACGAAAATCTCAACATTTGTATGAAATTTGATCGATATTTTATCAGAATGGAACAAAAATGAAATTAAGGGTTAACGAGTCGAGTATCATTTGGCCTGGACCTTCAAAAAATAAACCCGAAGGTTTAATGATACCAACGCACTTAAAGGTATTGACAATTGAAGAGAAACCTTTCGTTTACGTACGTGAAGCAAGCGAGAGTGAATCTTGCCTGCCTGATGAAATAGCATGTCCTCATTTCAAGATTGATGAAAACGAGAGTAAGTAATTTAATCAAATGATGTGTGCGCGCGTGCGTGCGTTTAACTGTGAAAATAATTAATGATCATGGAAATAAATGTGAAACCTTGTAATCTATAGATTCGAAGACGTATTGTTGCAAGGGTTATTGCGTTGATTTGTTGAAAGAATTATCAAAGACTATCAATTTCACTTATAATCTTGCTCTATCCCCTGATGGTCAATTTGGCAGTTATGTCATCAAAAATAATTCAGGTATATTACTAACAAACATTCTCTCGTATACATTTATTTTTATTTAAAATTTATTTATTATAATTAATTATTAATCTCTAACATAAAAAAAAAACAAAAGCAAGGAAATCTAACTTTTCAGTTGCAGGGAAAAAAGAATGGACAGGACTAATCGGAGAATTGGTGAACGAACGAGCGGATATGATCGTTGCACCATTGACGATTAATCCTGAACGTGCTGAATTCATTGAATTCAGCAAGCCATTCAAATATCAAGGGATAACTATTCTGGAAAAAAAGGTATCAGAAAAAGAGCTCCCGAATTTCAAACATAAATTCCCAAATTGAACTCTCATCCGAAGAAAAGATACTTGAATGTTAAATGAATCAAAAATCTTGTTTGATTCCAGCCATCTAGATCATCAACACTGGTATCTTTCTTACAACCATTTAGTAACACCCTTTGGATCTTGGTGATGGTTTCGGTGCACGTAGTGGCGCTAGTTCTGTACCTCCTCGACCGGTTTTCACCTTTCGGGAGGTTCAAACTAGCTAATACTGACGGCACCGAGGAAGATGCCCTCAATCTCTCGAGTGCCGTTTGGTTCGCATGGGGAGTATTATTGAATAGTGGAATTGGTGAAGGTAAATATGGTTTTTTCTTATCATTATACTTGGCATATAAATTAAACGACCTATTAGGAAAAATGTTCACCATGGCTACTAACAAGATTTCAATTATTATGTACTATATTATTTAGGTACTCCAAGAAGTTTTTCAGCTCGAGTATTGGGCATGGTATGGGCAGGATTTGCTATGATCATTGTGGCATCATATACAGCTAATTTAGCTGCCTTCCTTGTCTTGGAACGTCCTAAAACTAAATTAACTGGGATCAATGATGCCCGAGTAAGTAGACACAACAAGTTTTCTAAAAAAAAATATGCACACAATTAGAGAATAAAACAATAAATGTTGTTTTATATGTTGCATTAAAGCTCAGGAATACTATGGAAAATTTAACATGCGCTACAGTTAAGGGATCAGCAGTGGACATGTATTTCAGGCGACAAGTTGAACTCTCTAATATGTATCGAACGATGGAAGCTAACAATTACGATACAGCTGAAGATGCTATACGTGATATCAAAATTGGGTACGTATTATTCACACCTGTCCTTTCTTAATATAATTTTCAAAGCAAGGATGTAAATACGTACAATATGATAAGTCGTTTGTGTCATTTTTAGGAAATTAATGGCATTCATCTGGGATAGCTCACGTTTAGAATTTGAGGCAGCTCAAGATTGCGAGTTAGTAACTGCCGGTGAATTATTTGGTCGTTCTGGTTACGGAATTGGCCTACAGAAAGGTTCACCCTGGGCGGATGCCGTGACTCTGGCAATTTTAGACTTTCACGAAAGTAATAGCAACGCTATGATATCAGTATAAGAATAGATCAATGAAACATGAATATTTTTTTTTTTAACGAAGTGTAATAAAAAAGAAAAGACTTTAAAAAGTAACAAAAATAAGGAAGAACAATTTCCAAATGTAATAATTAATACTTCATATATCGTTTTTAGGTGGTTTCATGGAAAGTCTCGATAATCTTTGGATACTGCAAGGAAATCTACAACAATGCGAACAATTTGAAAAAACTCCGAACACTCTCGGATTGAAAAATATGGCAGGAGTGTTCATAGTGGTTGCGGTCGGTATCATCGGTGGTATCGGTTTGATTATTATCGAGATGGCGTACAAGAAGCATCAAATTAAAAAACAGAAGAAAATGGAACTGGCTAGGCACGCAGCCGATAAATGGAGAGGAACGATCGAGGTAAACAGCGATCGGCAGCCGATTTCGTTGTTTGATATGTTTCCATCGTTTCTTCAGAAATGTGTGTTTATCAGTAATCCTCAGGAAGCGACGACGAGGTAGCTGCGCTGAAGCATGTCCATTTCCCGAGGGACTTCCCTTCGAACCCTAGTAATAATAATTACGTGATAATTAGCGAGTTGCACAACTGACTGTGTGTAGAAATTATTATGAAGAAGTAGTTGTAGGTAAAACTAGTTGCAGATACATATATAATATATATATATATATATACATATACATTTACATATTTCATAAAACTTTTATCCTTCCTCTCGAGGAAATACGATACACGTAGGATCATCCTAAAAAAAACCCCATACACATAAATAACACAAAATAAAATTTGTAAAAAATCTCCATTAAAAAGATAATTGAAAATATTCAAATTGAATACAGCAAACATGTATTACATATCTCTGGACAATCCTACGTGTATTCCTACGTAACGTTAAATCGATCATAATAGTCAACATTTTCTTTTCGAGGGATTTCCTTTGCGATAAGATACTTATAAGTTCATTTGTATGTAACCCTTCATTTTATTTATGCAGAAGCGGAAAACACTTCGAGCTTCGATAGCTGCACAACGAAGAATTCAAAGCAATGGCCTGAACGACCCAACGACCGTCAGCTTGGCAGTCGATACGGTCGCCAGATGCACCGTCTTACCACGTAGTCCAGGAAGAGCATGGCCTGGAGATAGTGATATACGTCAACGACCAATGTCACGTTCTGAGGACGTAAGATTATCACCTGCCGTTTACACCGCCGATGTATCTCATCTTGTAGTTTAATTATTATATACATACATACACACTGTGTACTTACGTGTTCACAAAAAATAGTTTTTTAATATGTACAACTCTTTCATATATATTAACGCACACTACGAACTAAAGGAATTGTATTAATAGTTAAATTTAGGTCTCGTTCATTGAAATAAAAGAAAATTCTTTGATTGTTACAATTGCGACATATATTTACTTTTTATTTTGTTTCATATCAATTTATTTATTTTATTGTTTTACGTTTTTTAGAATTATCCACTGACGATTTGGGAATCAGCATCTTTGAAAGACGCGCCATATGTTCCAGGAGACGATGTATCTTGACTTGGTCGATAATCTATCGACGCGTCAAATCAAATGTACGCGTTTAAATATTTTATTGTTAAAATATGGGACAGACGTAATTGTTAAGTGAATATTTTTGCTTGCATGTAAAATTTAATATCATTTTAATATTTTGAATGAAATCTCACAATTTGTGAATCGTAAGAATTTAAAATCCTTAGTTCTCCGATCGTCCGTTATAGTCGGAGTAGCACTGTCAAGCAATAATTTTTTAAAACAAAGTTTCTATTCGGAATCTTCATTTTTCTTCGTTCAGGGCCATAACACACGAGAACGAAGGAATTGTGTCAAATGTGGTGTCAGCTTGTAGAGAGTGTACTGTCAATCGAAAAAGAATTAACTTGTCAGCTATCGAATATCGAATTAATATAGTAGGTGGTGTTTCGCCATTAAATATCTAATCAATTATTTCGCTAAGGAAATGGCGGATACTACCGTGGATGCAACGAGGCGTTTAAACGTTAAGAAACAGACATTGGACGACGCTTACGCTGCGCCCGCAAATTTTCTCGAAATTGACGTGATTAATCCAATCACACACGGCGTCGGTAAAAAAAGATATACCGATTACGAAGTCCGCATGAGAGTAAGTTGAATAAATTTCTATCAAATATCTGGAGGATGTACTTTTAGATTTTTCTTATCTACTTTTTTTTAGTCATTTTTGGAACCTCTTTCTTCTTGGAATTTTACCAAATTATTGATACAAATCAAAGACCTTTGACATTTATCCAAGTAATAATTTATTGTACGCACATCTATCTATCTATCTATCTGTCTATCTATCTATCTATTTACCTATGTATTTAAATAAGGACATTCTATTTGAATGAACTGTAATTCTAATTATTATTGTTATCTGTTCGTTCATTGCCTCGGTTCTTACCCCCCTTTTTTGATACATCAAATACATCAAATTATAAAACATTACTTTCGACCAATTTCATTTGTGCATTTATGTTTCATTATATTATATCTCTGTCCCGGGAGAGAGAAAGATTGACGATATCGCGAGATACTCTCGCTTATTATCGCATAACATTAGATAAACGAATTTAATGAAATTATCTGTTTTTACTGTATATTCTGAGTGAAGGAAGGATACCTTAGTAAATTTTAAGATGTTCCACCAATGTTAATATTTCTAAGGTTTCTGTAATGATGCTTCTATCTATACTAATTATTATCTATTAGAAAATATATATCTACAGGATGTCCGCGATTTTACTCGTCAAATTGTGTCAATATATTTTATGTATTAAAATAAGAAAAAAATGTTATATAAACATTGGTCATTGAAAACTTTATTAAAAAATTATTTCTTCTTCAAAGTGTCAATTGCCTGAGCGAACACAACCCTGACACTGTTTTTGGATGAAATGAACTTGTTTCGTATAATTGTAAATGCATATTCAAAAAAAACTGACATGAGTGATAAGATACTCTTCTGCTACAAAATTTGCGTTGATACTACTCTCTTACAGCAGTCAGAGTATTTTTATCGCACATTCTTGGTTTGAAAATACTTTCTGCATTTTGATTAGTTGTATTCCGTAAGGAAATTTAAAGAGAATTGATATCAATTGAGATTTACTAAATCACTTCGAAATAGTAAACAGTGTAGATAAATACTGATAGTGATGAGTAAATGTGAACATCCATAATTGATATCATAACTTGATTTTTTTTTTCTTTGTGCATAGAATATGTTGACACCCTGTATATATATTTATATTCATTCGTTATGCTTTCATTTAGGAAATGTTTAATAATTCGATTTTTTTTGTCTTCTAAATTCTTCTTCTTTCTTTCTTTTCTTATTTTAAAGACAAACCTACCCGTCTTTAAAGTCAAAGACTCTACAGTTAGAAGAAGATACAGCGATTTTGAATGGCTGAGAAACGAATTGGAAAGGGACAGCAAGGTACACCAATCGGTTAATATATTCTTTACTCGAGGTTTTAATATAATATTAATATAATATATTTTATTTAATTTGTAGATTGTTGTACCACCATTACCTGGAAAAGCATGGAAACGTCAAATGCCATTTCGAGGAGATGATGGAATTTTTGAGGAAGATTTTATTGAGGACCGAAGGAAAGGTTTAGAGATATTTGTTAATAAGTAAGTGTTATCAAACAATATTTTACATATTTAATTGTACGAGACAAGTATAATAAAATTGAATACATTTATAAGTTCCAATATTAAATGTGTTTTAGAATAGCTGGACATCCGTTAGCACAGAATGAACGATGTTTACACTTATTTCTGCAAGAACCTGTAATAGACAAGAACTACGTACCTGGGAAAATACGTAATACATAAGTAATAATGTTAAGACTAATTCACAAGTATATTTCACCCAGTCTTTGATATTTAAGCCATATTTCATTATTTTAATAATGTTTCATTGAAAGATTCGAAAAGATCCTTCTTTATATGCATATATATATATATATATGTATATGGTTTATGTATATATATGAATATATATGTATATATATATTTTCATATTATATAATTGAGATTTTAGTGCTGTGATGTTTAATCAAGTATCTTGGTTTTGTAATAGTTACGTTCAAATCGTTTTCTCAAATTAATGAAGGATCTTTTATCAAAAAGTTAAATATTAGTTAACTTCATAGAGAATTTTTTAAACGATCTCAACAATAATAATCTACACATCAGGCAAAAAATGAATTATGAAGATGAATCACTATAAATAATAATATTAATAATAATAAATGAAAAAGAAAAGAATGACAGAATTTGTGCATGTATAAAACGCAATACAGCGTTGTTACACTTTTGCATAATTACCGGTGCACAAATTTTTGTCCATTAAAATATGGCTTATGGAAATTAAAAAAGATTAAAAAAAAAGAATAAAAATTAATAATAATAATATTTATGTACAAGTTGCTCGGTAGAAAAGTGCAAAACATAGAAGTAATTATATAATAATAGTTGATCCAAATCTGCTTTTTCGTACTTTTATTGGATAAACTACCTGCAAATTTCTCAACAAAAACTTTGTCACTCTTAAGTAATGAAATTGTTGTAATATATCTTGTTGTTTCTAATTTTTCTATAAGTTTTGAGTTTTAACGTTGTTTCTACCAATGAATATTTTCATGGACAACTTGTACGAATATATTTTCTCAAATAATTTATGTACAAAGGTGTAAAACTCTAAATACGAATTTTCCTTTTAATTAGTAATTAAATAATGATTTAAATCAAAATATTGAGTTTTAAAATAATAATAATAATAATAATAATAATAAATATTAATATAATATAGTATAATATATCTATTTGCTAAAAAGAATATTCTTGAAAAACATTTGTACATTTAAATATTCTGAATCTTTTTGTTGTGTTTGAATTTCTCGTTTCGAACACAAATGGAATAAAATAATTATTGTTACTATTATTACTATTACGATTATTGTCATTGATATTGTTTGGAAATCAAGAGTAAAATTATTGACTTTTATACAATGGCCACTTTTTTTCGAATTCGTATATTATATGATTTTTGTGTTAAAAAACAACCTTATTGTTTGCATGAAACATTATTTTTTCATAAATAATTAGAATATAACAATATGGTGTCTAAGCAGGTACAATCAAATGGGCACACAATACTTCAGTCTTTAATTATTTAATAATTATTAATATCATAAGCCTACCTTTACAAATATTACGTGTGCACACAAAAAATATTAATAAGTTTTAAAAAAAAAAGAAATTTCTTTTTTTTTTCTTTATTTTAATTATTTTTTTAAATAAAAATGAGTATTAAATGGACAATATATCTAAAATTAACACATACTTTTTTGTTTATCAGTCTTAAAAGAAAAAAAAAATAGTTCAAATTTCTTTAACCCATTCGCTACGAGCGGTGACTACAATCTTTGTGCATAACTTTGAAACTTTCCACATACGAAATTATATTATTAAAAGTTATATTCTCTAATTGTATTATGTGATAATTTTTTCATCTTTTCTTTTCTATGGACTATCACAGATAATTTTTAAGTGCACACTTTTAGCGTGTCGGATCGTTCAGTGGGAGTAGCGCGCTATAGAATTCGTCCGTATATAGCGAAAGGGTTAATAAAACAATAAAAGTAGTTAGAGTGGTTGTTAAGCAAAAAAAAAAAATAATTTCAGTTCATATTTCTATAGATAATAATTAATCTATAATTGTGTTTCATTTTCTTTCTAATCTACGTCAAAAATGGGTAATCCACGAGTCTTTATTACATATATATATCTTGACTGGTCTTAATGAATTGTCTATTTCGGAAATAATTGTCAATGTACTTGTTAACACAGCTCTCTTCTGAAAATTAAAAATGAAGAGAAAATCATAATATAGATAGGAATGATTATAAAAATGAGATAAGATATTATTTAATTTTTCAACTGCGGAGCGCTCACAAACAAAATATCATATTAGTCATACTCTGACTTCCATTGGATGCCTAAAGGCACTATTCGCAGTCAAAAAAGATTAAATATAAATATATAATATCTTACCAGGAAATGTATTTTCAATAATAAGCATATCAGCAATATACTTGGCTACAGCTTTAAACAATTGACGATCTTTGATTCGTCTTTTTTTATAAAATGGCATTAGATATTTGACAATCCATGGAGCTATTCTTTCTTTGCAAGCAGTTAAATGTTCTTCTATACAAATTGGTGAATCAGGCATCATCTCTTCTTCATCAGATTCTCCAAACAATTGAATAAATTTTCTTTTAATTCTACCGTGTTTACGATAATTTGTTAAGGATAATTCTGACAATTTTCT